TATTGTATTGTATCAGATGCCATCGTGGAGTAGGTGGTCTCCTGCACCTTTTCCCCCCTCGAAGTAATAGAAAAAACCTAGACATGCAACCTGCAACCCGAAGGTGATTGCAGCCCTTACGGAAGACTATAAGGACTTCATGCTTCTCTAATTAAATGATACATAACGATAACTTGTAAACCCCAGACGTTTCCAGTATCGTCATGAATCGATATACTTACTGAGCTTGGTGTCACTTGGCCATGAGAAAAGCTAAAGCTGGGATTGACCAAAAGAATTGTATAGAAATAAATGCCCTTCGTAACAGTTATTCCTCTGAATTGAAAAACGACGTATAGAGAATTGATTAGTAGGTGCAAAGTATGAATCAGTATGAATCGATGTATGAAGATTAGGTACACGGCGTACACCTCTGTGTAAATAGATGCAGGATAGGAAGTTTAAACATAAAATAATATGGTCTTTGTTATTACTTCGTACGTAGTATAAGAAGTAGAACGAGTCTTTATTCAGAATAACTATAAGAACGAGTATAAATTATCCCTGACAAAGCAGTGAAGGTGTTCTGTGTATACTTGGAGATGTTTATAAGCTGTACTTCTTAACATTGCTCAAACCTGCACCTATGAAGGCTGTGGCCTCAGAGTAAGAGCTTGATCATGATGTGTTGTATAATGTTATTAACATATAATGTGTTATATTAACAATGATATTAACATTTTACATGTCAAATAATTATAATATTTATAACAATAGTCTGTTTATTGTCAGTGCTAACGCGGTTGCTATCGCGTGAGGTAGGGTTGAGAACAAAGAAAAATGGGAGACAATGTCTTTACACAATATAAATTGGACTAATGAAAATGGTCAGATTCCTTCGGGAGCATGTAAGATTATATCCAAAGTTTGTTCGCCAATGGGGTGTGTCTGGGTGTCAAAGATCTTCAAGGTGGGTGCTACTTGTGATGAACTCTAGAAGGATGGGGTGGTAATACTCGGTCTGGCCGTCTGGAAGCCCATAGAATTCCAGTTCAGAAACCGAGTAAGGAGGTGCGGCTACTGATGAGAAGCCTCCTTAAAGTTTATTTGGGTTAGAAACGACATCTGGGTCCCTACCCTCGCACAAGATTATTCTCAATTTTCTTGTTGTGTTCCACAACTATACTTGAGGGACCACATGCAAAACTGGTATATCTGTTTTTGATAGTTTTGAGATAAATGCATTTTACTGATTTATAAGATTCTGGTATATCTGTCTATATACCATTTTGAAAACTAGAATTGTTCCAAACTGGTATATCTCCCGATATACCATTTTTTCTATACTATTTACAATAAAATAATTTAACTTGGGTTGGCTAAAGTCTATAAAATGTGTATAGATATACCGGTTTTATAGAAGATAAGTTTCTTGAAGGTGGTATATCTGCAGATATACCATTTTTTTTTCATGATTGTTAAAAGCTAAAATGGTATATTGTAAGTTATACCAGTTTTGGAAAAATAAAATTTCACTTTTTTTCAAAAATTTCTTCAAAATTGTTCAAAAAAAGTTCCAAAGATGCACCTTTTCATCCTGAAGACTATGTGCTACCTGTGCAAAATTGGTATATGTTCAGATATACCAGTTTTGCATGTGGTCCCTCACTTCTGTATACTTCAGTGATTGGGCTGATGACTCCAGTGAAAGGGCTGGTGACTCTAGTGAAAGTGCTGGTGACGATGAGAAAGACCATAAACCAGGGATTCCTTCGGGAGCATGTAAGATTATATCCAAAGTTTGTTCGCCAATGGGGTGTGTCTGGGTGTCAAAGATCTTCAAGGTGGGTGCTACTTGTGATGAACTCTAGAAGGATGGGGTGGTAATACTCGGTCTGGCCGTCTGGAAGCCCATAGAATTCCAGTTCAGAAACCGAGTAAGGAGGTGCGGCTACTGATGAGAAGCCTCCTTAAAGTTTATTTGGGTTAGAAACGACATCTGGGTCCCTACCCTCGCACAAGATTATTCTCAATTTTCTTGTTGTGTTCCACAACTATACTTCTGTATACTTCAGTGATTGGGCTGATGACTCCAGTGAAAGGGCTGGTGACTCTAGTGAAAGTGCTGGTGACGATGAGAAAGACCATAAACCAGGGATTCCTTCGGGAGCATGTAAGATTATATCCAAAGTTTGTTCGCCAATGGGGTGTGTCTGGGTGTCAAAGATCTTCAAGGTGGGTGCTACTTGTGATGAACTCTAGAAGGATGGGGTGGTAATACTCGGTCTGGCCGTCTGGAAGCCCATAGAATTCCAGTTCAGAAACCGAGTAAGGAGGTGCGGCTACTGATGAGAAGCCTCCTTAAAGTTTATTTGGGTTAGAAACGACATCTGGGTCCCTACCCTCGCACAAGATTATTCTCAATTTTCTTGTTGTGTTCCACAACTATACTTCTGTATACTTCAGTGATTGGGCTGATGACTCCAGTGAAAGGGCTGGTGACTCTAGTGAAAGTGCTGGTGACGATGAGAAAGACCATAAACCAGGGATTCCTTCGGGAGCATGTAAGATTATATCCAAAGTTTGTTCGCCAATGGGGTGTGTCTGGGTGTCAAAGATCTTCAAGGTGGGTGCTACTTGTGATGAACTCTAGAAGGATGGGGTGGTAATACTCGGTCTGGCCGTCTGGAAGCCCATAGAATTCCAGTTCAGAAACCGAGTAAGGAGGTGCGGCTACTGATGAGAAGCCTCCTTAAAGTTTATTTGGGTTAGAAACGACATCTGGGTCCCTACCCTCGCACAAGATTATTCTCAATTTTCTTGTTGTGTTCCACAACTATACTTCTGTATACTTCAGTGATTGGGCTGATGACTCCAGTGAAAGGGCTGGTGACTCTAGTGAAAGTGCTGGTGACGATGAGAAAGACCATAAACCAGGGATTCCTTCGGGAGCATGTAAGATTATATCCAAAGTTTGTTCGCCAATGGGGTGTGTCTGGGTGTCAAAGATCTTCAAGGTGGGTGCTACTTGTGATGAACTCTAGAAGGATGGGGTGGTAATACTCGGTCTGGCCGTCTGGAAGCCCATAGAATTCCAGTTCAGAAACCGAGTAAGGAGGTGCGGCTACTGATGAGAAGCCTCCTTAAAGTTTATTTGGGTTAGAAACGACATCTGGGTCCCTACCCTCGCACAAGATTATTCTCAATTTTCTTGTTGTGTTCCACAACTATACTTCTGTATACTTCAGTGATTGGGCTGATGACTCCAGTGAAAGGGCTGGTGACTCTAGTGAAAGTGCTGGTGACGATGAGAAAGACCATAAACCAGGGATTCCTTCGGGAGCATGTAAGATTATATCCAAAGTTTGTTCGCCAATGGGGTGTGTCTGGGTGTCAAAGATCTTCAAGGTGGGTGCTACTTGTGATGAACTCTAGAAGGATGGGGTGGTAATACTCGGTCTGGCCGTCTGGAAGCCCATAGAATTCCAGTTCAGAAACCGAGTAAGGAGGTGCGGCTACTGATGAGAAGCCTCCTTAAAGTTTATTTGGGTTAGAAACGACATCTGGGTCCCTACCCTCGCACAAGATTATTCTCAATTTTCTTGTTGTGTTCCACAACTTACTGAGCTTGGTGTCACTTGGCCATGAGAAAAGCTAAAGCTGGGATTGACCAAAAGAATTGTATAGAAATAAATGCCCTTCGTAACAGTTATTCCTCTGAATTGAAAAACGACGTATAGAGAATTGATTAATAGGTGCAAAGTATGAATCAGTATGAATCGATGTATGAAGATTAGGTACACGGCGTACACCTCTGTGTAAATAGATGCAGGATAGGAAGTTTAAACATAAAGTAATATGGTCTTTGTTATTACTTCGTACGTAGTATAAGAAGTAGAACGAGTCTTTATTCAGAATAACTATAAGAACGAGTATAAATTATCCCTGACAAAGCAGTGAAGGTGTTCTGTGTATACTTGGAGATGTTTATAAGCTGTACTACTTAACATTGCTCAAACCTGCACCTATGAAGGCTGTGGCCTCAGAGTAAGAGCTTGATCATGATGTGTTGTATAATGTTATTAACATATAATGTGTTATATTAACAATGATATTAACATTTTACATGTCAAATAATTATAATATTTATAACAATAGTCTGTTTATTGTCAGTGATAACGCGGTTGCTATCGCGTGAGGTAGGGTTGAGAACAAAGAAAAATGGGAGACAATGTCTTTACACAATATAAATTGGACTAATGAAAATGGTCAGCTGGGCCCTTTCATGAGACTGTTACCTAATGTTAAAAAGCGCAAGTGCTATGCCAATTTCATAATATAGAGCTGACATAGAAAGTTTTAACTAGGACTAACCATTGTATGAATATTAGATATCATTACCATTTACCTCGCCCTGGTATAAGAGTCGAACGTCTCAAGACATTGATAATATGATCTTTATAAATATATGTAATATCCGGAGACCGGATAAGATCATAATTTATAAGCCGCATTGCTGTGATGTTCCTGATAATTTCGTGGAATATTTTCCTTTGCCTGAAAAGAGCATTTACTCTAATACCCATTGTTTGCATTTACGAAATTATCAGACATTTATCAGAAACATTGATATGATCGTTACATGATTGTTATATTTTGTATAAATATTTGATATCATTATGCCTCGCACTTATAGTAGAGTCGAACGTCTCTTGGCATAGATATTATCGTTTTAATACTTTCTACCATTTAATACTTTTAACACAACCACATAACAAATAATTTGAGGCTCTTAAGATGTAGTTTATTTAAGAAGAATTCACGCCTAACATTGTGTGTTTCTCTTTGTGTCCAAATGCAACATATAGATATGATCGTACTATACAGATGACGATCGTATCGTGTCTATTGTCCAAATGCAACATATTGATATGATCGTACTATAAAGATGACGATATGTCTTGCGCTTTATAGTAAGCACAGCGTTTTAACAGTAGTGCATGATTAATTGATTTTATACATAACACTATAACACTAACAGCTTCACGCACGATATAATGTATGCCGTCTTGTAATGTTTCCTTGCGTTTTAGATTGGTCGGATAGAGTAATGGGAATTTGACGGTTTTCGAATTAATTTTCATTTTATGCTTAACTCTTTTGATGACGCCTTTGATTCTAAACTTAGAATCTGTTCTTTGTTTGTAGTATAGCTGAATAGTTTTACTTTTGACTGATAAAGAGTTTCCTAGGCCCGGTAATGGCAGAGCTGAACGAGCAAGGTGAAGAGTGGTTGGAGCTGACAACTTGAACTGGTGCTGAAGATAACAATTACAAGGAAATGGGAAACAGAAAAGATCATATCGTTAATGAGATGCATAAGCAGCCGACGTTGAGGAGCAGTATAACTGTAAACGTTAGCAAGGATGCACTACAGGACCCCTCTATGAAGAGACTGGACAAGTGGAGGTCCATGTTCCACATGTTCAACTTGCTAACCTTCACCGTGGCTCTTATTTCTCTTGGATTGTCTCTGCTTACCTACGCTTCTGCTACACGTAAATTAATGATTATTTAAATTTCTCTTCTGGGAAGTAAATGTGACACACTATGATGAGGGTTACTAGAGTACTAAAAATTCAACATATTTTGATGATTCACAAATGGTATGCCTCAGCTCAACATTGCCATGATAAATCTTTTTAGCGGATCCATTTGCACTACCGGCCGTCAATGACATACGTTCCAAATACCAAATTGGTATGAATGCTTACTTGTAGTGCACGTACAACTAAGTATGAATGGCTAACAATATGTTGGAACAGTATCTAGTACCGCGGGTTTGTCTGACAGCTCTTTATTTTCAGCCTCCCCCAGTACTGTAGCAGAGTACGAGTTACCCATGGTTTACTACGGTATTAATGGTGCCCTCATGACTGGTCACACTGCATTTGGAGCATTCGCTTGTGTCAAAGCTGAGAACCTGAAAGTTCTTAAGATCTACACCGCTATTGGTAGGATATATAATATAATATTATAATTACATTGTATTATGATGTTATGTTATAAGTAGATAAAGCACTTTGTGTTGAGCAATAATGAGGTAATATTATTGCGTAATTTTAGGTCTATGAAATGTCAAATTGTAATTAGGGTAATTTTTCAAATTACAGTGCTTACAATATATAGTAGTAATAAAAAGATAAAGCTTACCTTATCGGACATTAAATGTCCGTTCAAATTAAGTCCGACAACTACAAGGTAGCTCAATTAAATACATTAAATTAATGCCTTCGAGCGGTAATTTTAATGTCCGTTCAAAATTAGGTCCGTTCATGCAATGTCCGGTAAAATAACGTCCGATAAGGTATCTGCAAGTTTAAAAGGTCACTCATAAGACCTAGAGTAAAAATGGCAGCAGAACAATCAAACAACAACAATTCTTTGATTTTCCAGGTTTTCTCCTGGTTATAGAAGAGCTCGCTATAGGTTCTTGGATGTTGGCTACAATCCAAAACAGAATTAATGTGAGCAAATATAGTTTTTAGGTCCATCGTGATAATCATCTTATCTGCAAAATTGATCTCAAAATATAACAAGCGTCGATACAATATAGGTAGTTCGAACTAATTTCATCGGGGACCAGCTTTTAGTAAAACATAGACTCAAGATGCTGATGAGTGGTTCACAGCTTTCGTAACCACAACTATTTTAACTTTAAGCCGGAATTAATGATATAATTAACTAATTGTTTCAGGCAGTAATTAATAAAATAAGTAATTTGGAGTCTCAACACTCAAATCATGACCATGATGAAAGTCAGAAGAGGGACACTGTCGACCAGACTAAACGTTTAGCAAAACGAGACGACGATCACACCGAGGACCACGACGAAGACAGCGAGACGGTAAGAAATTAAAATCATCGTCTAATAGGACTCAGACAAAAATTGGTTGGGGAATATCGTGGCCTAAAAATGGCCTAAAAATTGAATTATGGCTGGAGTTGGACTCATATAGAAAGCTAGAAATCGCATAACCACAATAGCAAAAAATTAGATTGTGTTGAAAATTAATGACTTCTAAAAGTGTTTCTGTTAAATAAAACCATGCTAGATGTATATTGCACGATTAGACTATCAGTATCAGAACCCAGCTTGGCAGATTTAGTCGAGATATGATCTAGCGACTGGCCCCGGAAGGAGGGTAAGATACGGCCAGTCATGATCATAAACTCCAGCTTGATAGCTAGAGCTTTATAAATTTTCGCTCATTGATAAATATTCGCCCTGTTTTAATAGAAACTAACGGGAATTACCAGTACCTAACACAAATATAGCGAATAAAGTTACCTTATACACGATCAAAACTTCACTGCCTCTTCATAAAAATTTGTAGCAGTTTAATTGTAGGGGCTTTTATTATTGCCCACCATACTGCCTCAATTCAATCGAAATATGGGACTATTTAATACGGCCGATGAACGAACCAAATGATGCTTATGCATACAGAAATTACAGGTGAAATTAAGAAAATTGGGAGGGGGAGGGGATATATTAAAGTATATGGTGCAATATAACCACGAACCACGGCAATGTCAGCTGCAAATGCAATCACTCATTTTTGACTGATTTTCCAGATTTCAAAAGATGGTCCAAGAATCAAAGAATCATTGTCGACAGAATACGTATTGAGTGAAGAATGTAATTATATCCAAGAAATTGTGTTATACTTATACCCTATGCGATATGAAATATGGAGATAAAATATTAAAAAGTGGCTAGAGAAGAACACCTTGCAACCAACGTGGGTGTATTATAAACACGTTTTCAAATTCATTAAACTTGTAAAAATCAGGGACCATTAGCGATATGACGATAGTCTGTCCTATATAAGAGGATGATGATTGGTCGCTCTATTCTCGCTATCACGTGACAAAATATCACATGACAAGCTATCACGTGACAGACTAGCACTCATTTTCTAGGTGACTCTGGCAGATAACCCAAATCTTTATCTCTATGTGCGAGATTTAAGGTTAAGACTGGATCTGGAGGAGTCATTTTAGGGCCTACGAAATAATTTCCACCGGTAATTTGTCGAGCTGAACATCATGAACCCTTTGAACATCCTCGATTTGCTCGAATCTCAAAAATAGCGAGCTGAAGGTCAGTCTAACAGGTTCTATTCGGACGTATCGATTGGGCGAATACTAAATGGGCGTCAAAGCAAAATGTATTTGAGGGACCACATGCAAAACTGGTATATCTGAACATATACCAATTTTGCACAGGTAGCACATAGTCTTCAGGATGAAAAGGTGCATCTTTGGAACTTTTTTTGAACAATTTTGAAGAAATTTTTGAAAAAAAGTGAAATTTTATTTTTCCAAAACTGGTATAACTTACAATATACCATTTTAGCTTTTAACAATCATGAAAAAAAAATGGTATATCTGCAGATATACCACCTTCAAGAAACTTATCTTCTATAAAACCGGTATATCTATACACATTTTATAGACTTTAGCCAACCCAAGTTAAATTATTTTATTGTAAATAGTATAGAAAAAATGGTATATCGGGAGATATACCAGTTTGGAACAATTCTAGTTTTCAAAATGGTATATAGACAGATATACCAGAATCTTATAAATCAGTAAAATGCATTTATCTCAAAACTATCAAAAACAGATATACCAGTTTTGCATGTGGTCCCTCATTTATGGTCTGAGGTTTTTTTTTTTTTTTTTTTTTTTTTTTTTTTTTTTTTTTTAAATTTTTAATGAGGAACCTGCCAAACCCCAGGACACCAGGAGGATACCACTGGCAAAGCGGCTAATAGTACCCTCCGGTCTGTGTTGTACCGAAGAAGCTGAGTTAATCGATCAAGACTCGGCTTACCAGCCAAGAGGCAAAATCTGAGCGGCACCAAGGGTTCAGAGAGTGTCATTTCAGCTTCTCCGGTGCTGGATGCCCTGGGGTTTCACATGCGCCGTAGCAAAATAAATATAAAAACACACGCACACAATTTTTTTTATTCTTTTAGATAATACGTCGAATAAAGTCAGTGGATATAGAGTAATAAATAGCACATAAGATGGAGAGAAAAAGGAGAGATACTACTGGTTTTAAATGTGACTCTATATCAATACTAGTAGTGGAGATAACTCCACTGGCTACAACTTGTGAAATAGAGGGTAAAGGTAAGGCACGGCTGTAATTTCGAGAGAATAAATAAACAAGAGTGTATAGTGGATCCAGTACTTTGGGTATAAAATGGTCATCAAGGTATAACGTCTTTAAGGCACCGTATAATATCCGGTTTTTCACCTAATAAGAAAAGCTTAAGATGTTTAAGATATCGCTCCCAGAATAGGGGTTCCTTGTTCTGGAAACTCCTTCCAATAAACCAACAGCAAACCGAATTTATGAAGTTAACACTTTTATCTCTGTGCTTTAAGCAAATCAAATAGTGGCGATATGGGTCGTCATAATTTGCGTCAATATTCGATCTAATAAACAGATTTACTCCCTGTAGGAAAGAGCTTGTGGCTGGACAGTCAATAAATATGTGAGAGATAGTTTCGAGGTTGTGATTACATAACGAGCAATTTGGACTATCTTTTTCAATCTTCATTTTATATCTCATGTACCGACAAGTACTAATCCGGTGAAGGAGCTTATATTGGTACTGAATAAGTTTGAAGTTATTTGAGAAAGAAGTAAAAATATCCGTAAAAATACTAATCCAATCAATATCCGTTAAGGAGAGGTTAGCACTCCAGTTCCTCATTGGAGGAAGGGTGCTGGGATCTAAACGCTTAGACATGGTATCTCTAATGTTTCTACCTTTGATAGTGAGAGGAGTATCTCTAGAGTTGGGGGTATTCCTACCTCCCCAAAAGCGAAGTGAAAGTTGGGTATCGATAAATGTAATGTTTCTTGTAAACGTATCGGTATTATTAAATCGACGTATTCCCAATTTTATACTCGCATATTGAGTCGAAGAGATTATACTACTTGTTTGGCCCCACTTTCTCAGAAATTGCTGAAAACTTAAGAGGTTACCTTCCTCTGAAACGAAATCAGAAAGATAGATGATATTTCTATCAATAAGAATATCGTTCCAGAGCTTGGAGCCAATGTCCGTTATTACGTCGCTTCCCCACACACAGTGGTTGACTGTACTCTTACTTGACTGTGAAGAAATAGACTTCCAAAGCTTATAATGGCGAAGAAGGTTAAAGGTAAAACCAGTATTCTTTAATGTGAGACAGTTTTCTATACACACAGTTGGTATATTTGGGTGTAAAAGCTGATTGATGATAATATTTTTCCAGGCATGTTGGAAATTAGGATCGATAACTTTTCCTATAAGTGACACTTTTAAACCTATAATAAAATCGTTAGTATAGAAGAGACCTAGACCCCCACATTCACGAGGAGAAGTAACAATATCACGTGGTCTGAGGTTTACAAGGTTTACAACTATAAAATCGTTACGACATCAATAAAATGTCAGATGGACGTCCAAGTCCAACAAATGATCCACTCATGGTGTTGCAACACCAGATTAGCTGACAAGATTAGATGACAAGATTAGCTGTCGAGACCAGGGACAAAAGGATTTCGCGGCGATTTTGGCCAAAAATCGCGATACCGCGAATTACATTTCGCGGTATATTAAACTATACATCAAATTTGTCGCAAATAATGGGAAAAATCGCGATTCCGTACATGCCGCGATTTCCTTTTGTCCCTGGTCGAGACGGAGATTAATTTGAACCATGTCCACGCAATTATCTAATTATAGATTAGAAGTTTGCTTAGATTTGGATTTGAAAATGTTTCAAATTGGTGCACGTACGTCGTACAATAGTATATACTATATTCAGTCTTTTATAGACATTTATATATTAATATAATTAATTCTTAAGAAAATGCCGGGATCCTATGAAATAGGTTCTTAAATGATTTTAAGTTGTTGTAAATAAACTTCTGTTTTAAAAAACAGAAGTTTATTTACAAAATTAAATATCTTTTTTTATACTGCTTTTGACTTGATTATATTTTATTTTCAGTCCGAAACTGAAGATCATGCCGAAGATGATTCAAATTCAGTTGAGGCACATATAATTTATAAAGAAATAAACAAGTATTACGGGTGTTGCATGTACGCTCAAAAGTGGGTCGATGACGATGATCTTCATCCTGGTTAGTTATATTTGCTTAATTAAATAATAATTAAGATAATAAATATAATTTGCGATCTTATATTAGTACTTAAAATAAGGTCGCTGAATTCATCGATAATTCTATCCGTTTTAGATAATAATAATATGATAGTGAGTAGTTCAAAAGTAATTAAAAACAGTATACATTTGATAAAAACAGTATACATTTGATGTATAATTTTTGCCACCACTGTTGATACGCGGTCTCATACTTGCAGAGGAGGTGTACGAGCATTGTCTGACCAACGAGTATCTGTTCTGTGGTGTGAAGTTCGTTTTGTTCCCTGGGACAAAGAATCTGAAGAAGACAATAGAAACGAGTTGTGACTGCGAGATTAAAGTGGGGGAAGTCGTCACTGTGTGAGTAAACACGCTAAGAATGTAGAAATATATGGTCTTTAAGTTTTATTGAGAGTTTCGTTGAATAATGTTTAAAGGCTGTTGATTGTGAAACTTTTAATGTAGGGTATGAATATTTTGAATAATTTTGTTTTTTGAACTTTTAACAAACTTTAATTTTCAAACAGATAGTTAATTAATTAATTATTAATACATTTTCAGGCGGATTTTAAAGCAGACAGTTTTATTATTCATAGCACTACCCTCCCAGATCCTCTGTTTATTTGGAGTAGCTATGTTTATCAAGTTTGAAATTTCGTTCAGGAACAATAGTATGGTTGAAACGGTTTCGATACCAAATCCCTCTACGGTAATGAATAAAATTGATTAAATATAACTGAGATTTTCTATAATGGAAGAATTGTGCTCAGTTGGGATTTGTATTAAAAAGGCAATCAAGATTCTATCTATTCAAGAAATAGCTTGACCAATGTTTGGATTTGTTTGTGTTTGTGGGTTCTTCAGAAAATATAAAGAAAGGGTAAATTTTAATCATATGATCAATGATATTGTCTAGCAATCATAGCTTTCAGATAATCTTGATGCAAAATTTCAGTCAACATACCTTCTCATCCAGTCCACACAATTACATAATCTACTGATCGAATCTAAAATACTGACAGTAGGTACTCAGTACAGTGTTTTACTTATATTTCTGATTATGTAAGCGACCATTTCGATTTAACGAGTGTATATAATATTAATACTGTATCAGTTTTGAATTTCACGATCTTGGTTTTTATAGATTTGTTTTTCGACTATAATTGATTGCACTGATTCCATGCAAATGTGGATTCTGTTGGAAAGGTGAGAATTCTGGGAAATTGTTGTTTTGGTCACAATATACAGGCTGATCTGGAACTGTGATTATGACAATATATAAGTACAAAATGATCACGAAACATTAGTACGCTGTTCAACATCTGTACAATAATTTATGAAGCTCTCGAAATTTCGTAATTTTTGCAGCAATTTAAATATCTTCAAATATGCTTCCGACAAATGCTTCCCTTTTCTCACAAAAAGTGCTTTTAACTTACCCAAAACATATTTTCGGATGCTCTACTTGTAGCTGCCGTGTCTCTAGAGTTCATGTATACATTTTTATCAAACTTGGTCAAATATTGGCTAAGATCCAAAACTTATGATCCGAAACTCTATGTCCATATATGGGCATACACGTAACATTTGAAAGCTTTCAGCCCAAAAATTGGTCGAATATTAATATTTTTCAATTAGTTTTAGGTGACACATAAGAAATCGTCAAGTCATTCAAATTATTTTCATATAACCTTATTTTTGAAGAAAAACAACAAGTCAACCTTCATTTCTTCCGATTTTTGGCTTTTTAGAAAAAGCGCCCCCTATTGGCGCCCCTCTCCTTTTATCGACCCTCCCTAAATTTAGACAAATGAGCTGATTTTAGAGGACACGCCGACAAAATTTATAAAAAAAATGTGAGTGTATATTGTATAATGTCACGTTTTTTCCATCTATAAGACTTACAGTTTTCCCTACTCATACGCTTGCCTTAGCGTTAATGGTACGAGCCGTTATAGTTATACTACTCCAAATTCTCGACCCTACACCCTGAGCTGAAGCGACAATCCCAGTACCTGAGTACCACCACACTATTCTGAGTGACATTAATCCCCCAATTTACCTCCATAAAGTTGGGCTGCAGCCAGACTATCTGTAGAGAAACATAAAGTATCATTAATGCAACCAGCACCTATGCAGTGTGCAACCAGCACCTGTACAGTGTGCTACCAGCACCTGTACAGTGTGCAACAAGCACCTGTACAGTGTGCTACCAGCACCTGTACAGTGTGCTACCAGCACCTGTACAGTGTGCAACCAGCACCTGTACAGTGTACAGTGTGCAACCAGCACAGCTGTGCCCTTGATCCCGTTCTCAGACTGGTTGTTATTTATCAATTATCATCTAATTACACGTCAGGCCTTCAGCTCTCCCACTACGTCATTATATGAAGTGGAATGTAAAAGTGTGGACTTTTGCTTCCTAAAACTGGTCGTAATTGCGAAATTTCCTGTTTATTTACTTTGTGACAACATTCAACTATTCAATGAGGTGCTAACCCTTAGCCTTACGTGTTTATTATTTGTGTTAACATGTTGGTTTCGTACGGCTTTAAAATTTACATGTCACACTTTGCACTTTCGACGGACAAGGTTGTGTTTTGGAGGTAAGGAGGTAAGGACTAAGGACAGTTGAGTGGAGTTGGGTTAGAAACATATAAGAGATACGATGGTTTAACTTGTAGAAGCTTTCTTTGTCAGCTAGGAAAGTTGTTAATTTCTAATTTTTACTTTTTATAGATCTCACAAGGCCGAGCGTGATTGTGTAAGTTTTTTGTATTTTCTAGGGAGCATCTCGGCAGATGTCTAAACTTATAGCAACACTACAAATATATAGGTAACATGTATCGACTTCTGTCTAGAGCAGTGATGCTCTTTAGTAAATACCACAACCTTCTTATGAAACAAAATTTGCAATAGAAAGTCTCATCTATTTTACTTTCGAGCTTTTAGAATTGCACATTCAGCTGTCGTAATCTTATTAGAAGGTGGCTCTGTCTCTGTTGACAAAATTAAAAGTGGTCATTTTATTTTTGATCAAAGTACCAGGTATTCATATTTTGGTGCTTCATGTTTTTTTTTTGCAACTACAGGCGCTTCTATAATTTCTGGAACCATAATGAATCTGTAGAATATTGAAGTTTTGCATTTGGGAAATGTAAATTAGTTGATACTTGATACCTTTAGTAATAGTACGTGGCTCTGGAAATTTTACTGCACACGTCATTTTATTTTGGATCAAAGTACCAGGTATTTATATTTTGTTGCTTCGTGTATTTTCTTTGCAACTACAGGCGCTTCTATACAAATCTCTGGAACCATAATGAATCTGTAAAATATTGAAGTTTTGCATTTGGGAAATGTAAATTAGTTACTTGATACATGAAGTAGTGTGTAGTGTATACCTTTAGTATGTTCAATGTTCCCTGTACATTTTACTGCACACTTAAAACTTAATGACTTGAAGTTGAAATGTGAGTAATAGTCTATTATTATAGTATCATCCCAGCGGAGTGTGAAATGTGAAATAACATGACTCAATGAGGTTTTCAGCGACCGTTCAATTGTTATGTTGTCGTTTAACAAGCATCGACCTTGCTGAGGTTGCGTCACGTTTTGTTTTATCAGGTTACAGAACAAATACAATTATCTATATCATGTTGCCTCTGATCAGTTTATTTTATACATTTTTTTCTTCCTAATATTGTAATTTGACTGGCATATCGTGCTTCTTTTCTTAGGGGTAACACATAATGTACACTACAAATGCTTACATTTATAAAATGGACAAGTGGCGCCGAAAAATCTTGCCAGCACTGGAAACAAGCTCGATGGAGAAAATCGTTAGCCTTCTTTCGCGATATAGTATACGAACATCAGATCATTTCGGAACGGAAAAGCGCAACTTGTTGCACGAAGCAGCTGTCTGTGGTAGGGTAGATATTATGAAAATGTGTGTTTATCTTAGGACTCCTGATTATGTGAACATAAAAGATTCTAGGGAGCAAACAGCTCTGATGATAGCAGTTACCGGAGGACATCTAGATGCAGTAAGATTTCTCGTGCATCATGGAGCAGATATTGATATTAGGGACAGTGAGGATTGTACTGCGATATCACATGCTTTGGAGAACGATAATCATGTAATATTTAGATATTTACTTGATGGAGAGGTAGCAGAATGGGAATCTTGCTACTCTTTTAGCAGCAAACACACAAATAATGCTTTATTGGAGGCTACAAAAGGCGGAAAGTTAGCAACTATAAAATACCTCGTAAATGTTGGACTTGCTGTTGAAAACAGACAACATCTTCTGAATTCATCGATGGTTGCCAATGCTGGAAGGGGTGCGAAAGCTATGGTGGAAGAACTCAGATTTCTTGGGGCGGAAATGGATTTTTTAAGTGAGGCAGGATACACAGGTTTGATGTCAGCGGCAGCCCACAATCGTCTGGAGATGTTGCCTTATCTTCTTGACTCCGGGGCAGACATCAATCAAACGAACCAGCAAGAGGATACAGCCTTGATATTTGCTGCAGTTAATAATCATTTGGAAACTGTAGTTTATTTGCTAGAAATCGGAGTCGACATCAATCAAACCAATAACAGTGGTAATACAGTTCTGATAGCCGCTTCGGCGAACAATTGCTTAAAAGTTGTCATTCATCTGTTAGAAAGTGGAGTAGAGATCAACTTTGAGAATAAACGTGGATTTACAGCGTTAAGTGAAGCATTACTTAGCAGAAAACCTAATGTTGCAGCGTATTTATGTGGTCTATCTGAAAATAAAGTTAATGTTACTCTTGGAAAGTTTGATGTTGAGAGCAGAGATGATGGGTTTGGTGGCCAAACAGTACTGATGTGGGCCGTGCAGATGGATGAAGTGTCTATCGTGAAATACCTTGTTGAAATGGCTGGAGCTGATGTTAAAGTCAGGGATGATAACGGGTATACAGCAACCGAGGCCGCTTTAAAAGACAGGAAACCGAGTGTTGCAACATATTTGTGCGGTTTGTCTGAAGCAAAAGCAGAACTTGGTAAATTTGACATTGACAGCAGAAACAAGGACAGTCAGACCGTGTTAATGTGGGCAGCAGAACTTGGGGCAATGCCAATCGTTGCATATCTTATCAGAGAAGGTGCAGATGTCAATCTTAAAGATAATGATGGAAATACTGCGTTAAGTTTTGCTGTGAATTCCAAGAAGTTTGAAGTGGCCCACTACCTGTTTCTTCAACCGGGTATAGAAGATAGCATGATTCAGGCAGCAGAAATGGGACAGTTAACTGTTGTTAAGTATGCAGTAGAACATGGACTGGATATCAACTACATAAACGAAAGTGAGTGCACGGCTTTGAGTGTATCCCTACGAAGTTATATGACAAAGTTGAGGTCGGTGGCAGACTACTTGTGCACTCAGCCGGGTATAGAAGTCAGTATGATACACGCAGCAAAGATGGGACAGGTATTCGTTGTAAAATATGCATTGGAAAAGGGCCGACGAAAAATAAAATATGTTGGGAAGGGAGGCGTCACGATTTTAAGTGCGGCTTTGAACAACAGGAAGACTGAGGTTGCTGCTTACTTGTGTCGAGAACATGGTGCAGCTGCTGCTCTCGGCGATTTCGCTATTGAGGGGAAATGTGTTGATGGTCAAACAGTTCTAATGTGGGCTATCCGCACTGGAGAAGTTTCAATTGTCAAGTATCTCGTAGAAATAGCCGGTGCTAATGTCGGTTGTTTAGACGAATTTAAGAACACAATTCTGGACGTTGCCTTGAAAATATTACTTGCTCCCTTCGAGCATCAGCAACAGAAGATTGAAGTTGCAGATTATCTGTGCAGTTTGGCGAACTTGAGATCAGATATTCATCATGAGAAATTTGCCGTGAACACATTTGATGATAACGGTCGAACAGTACTGATGTTGGGTGCGTTAAAAGGAAAAATTAACCTTGTGCGATATGTTGCTGAGAAAGGTGGCCGGCCAGTGATCAACTACAGAGATTCGAAAGCGGGGACTGCCCTTGGTGTAGCGATGGAATCAGTGATCAACATAAGAGATGCAAAAGGGGGGACGGCACTTAGTCTAGCTATGGAGTCACGAAATGCCCATATTGCTACATATTTGTGTAGTCGGCCTGGTATTGAGCTAAGTGTGATCTACGCTGCAGAAACGGGAAAGTTGGCCGTTGTAAAGTATGCGGTGGAACAGGGATTGTATGTTAAATTTTATTTTGATGAAAATGGAAATAGTGCGATCGATGCTGCTTTGAGTAGGAACAATACTGAGGTTGCTGAATATTTAAGGAAACTGTATAAAAATAGATGGTAATAAAGAAAAGCTGGAAAGATATTTTCTTCGACTTCTAGTTCTCATTAACATCCATCTTATTTCAGCAACGAGTCATTTTACTTTTCCATATTATAATATATATGTTGCGTGCAGATTTACTTTCAATTTTGTAATAATGTTTTTAATTTAGATTTGATTATACTAGTACGGGAAAAAGTTAAAAGACTACTGTTGTACTCTCTTTTCACGAGTGTACACGTCATTTTAGACTACTAGTTCTTCTTCCTTTGTGGTTATTGGCCTTTTGTTATTAACCCTGAGCCCAAGCGACAATCCCAGTACCTGAGTGAAACTAATCCCCCAATTTACCTCCATAAAGTTGGGCTGCAGCCAAAATATCTGTAGAGAAACATAAAGTATCATTTTTAACGGCTTAGTGGCTCAGTTGGTTAATCTGCCTGGCATTGCTTGAGGTACCAGGTTCGATTCCCGACTCTGTCACTAGCCGTGGGGTGAGCGTCGTCGATGCTCAGCTAAGGATCCTGAGTGGTCTATGCAGCCCCCCGGTCCACTCAGCCAAATACTCGAGAAATCGGGTGTGAGGGTTAAATGAGGAGCTGCCCATTGCAGCAAAGTCTCGGGCGAAGAAAGTATCATGGTACACACTAGCTTAACCGTCACTGGCCTTATGTATAATTGAAATTTGAATCCTTCGGCTTCCTGTAATTGGCTGGTTACACAATTTTGTAACAATGTGGCTGTTGGAATGTCCGAAGTAAAATAAGTGTTGAGATTTTTAAAATGCAACCAGCACCTGTACAGTGTGCAACCAGCACCTGCACAGTGTGCAACCAGCACCTGTACCCTTCATCCACTTCTCAGACTGGTTGTTATTTATCAATTATCATCTAATTACACGTCAGGCCTTCAGCTCTCCCACTACGTCATTATATGAAGTGGAATGTAAAAGTGTGGACTTTTACTTCCTAAAACTGGTCATAATTGCTAAATTTCCTGTTTATTTACTTTGTGATAACATTCTGATTCAACTATTCAATGAGGTGCTAACCCTTAGCCTTACGTGTTTATTATTTGTGTTAACATGTTGGTTTCGTACGGCTTTACAATTTATATGTCACACTTTGCACTTTCGACGGACAAGGTTGTGTTTTGGAGGTAAGGAGGTAAGGACTGAGGAAAGTTGTTAATTTTTACTTTTTACTTTTTATAGATCTCACAAGGCCGAGCGTGATTGTGTAAGTTTTTGGTATTTTCTAGGGAGCATCTCGGCAGATGTCTAAACTTATAGCAACACTACAAATATATAACATTTATCGACTTCTGTCTAGAGCAGTGATGCTCTTTAGTAAATAGGTACCACAACCTTCTTATGGAACAAAATTTGCAATAGAAAGTCTCATCTATTTTACTTTCGAGCTTTTAGAATTGTTCGCGCCATGTCTCCGTTGACAAAACTAAAAGTGGTCATTTTATTTTGGATCAAAGTACGGTACCAGGTATTCATATTTTGGGGCTTCATGTATTTTGTTTGCAACTACAGGTGCTTCTATAATCTCTGGAACCATAATGAATCTGTAAAATATTGAAGTTTTGCATTTGGGAAATGTAAATTAGTTGATACTTGATACCTTTAGTACGTGGCTCTGGAAATTTTACTGCAGACCTAATTTTATTTTGGATCAAAGTACCAGGTATTTATATTTCGGTCCTTCGTGTATTCTGTTTGCAACTACAGGCGCTTCTATATAAATCTCTGGAACCATAATGAATCTGTAAAATATTGAAGTTTTGCATTTGGGAAATGTAAATTAGTTGATACTTGATATATGAAGTAGTGTGTAGTGTATACCTTTAGAATGTTCCCTGTACATTTTACTGCTCACTTAAAGTTAATGACTTGAAATGTGAGTAATAGTCTATTATTATAGTATCATCCCAATGGAGTGTGAAATGTGAAATAACATGACTCAATGAGGTTTTCATTTACCGTTCAATTGTTATGTTGTCGTTTAACAAGTAAGACTTGCTCATCGACCTTGCTGAGGTTGCGTCACGTTTTTGTTTTATCAGGTTACAGAGGGAACAAATACAATTATCTATATCGTGTTGCCTCTGATCAGTTTATTTTATACTTTTTTTCTTCCTAACATTGTAATTTGACTGGCATATAATCGTGCTTCTTTTCTTAGGGGTGATACATAATGTACACTACGAATTCTTACATTTATAAAATGGACAAGTGGCGCCGAAAAATCTTGCCAGCACTGGAAACAAGCTCGATAGAGAAAATCGTTAGCCTTCTTTCGCGATATAGTATACGAACATCAGATCCTTTCGGAACGGAAAAGCGCAACTTGTTGCACGAAGCAGCTGTCTGTGGTAGGGTAGATATTATGAAAATGTGTGTTTATCTTAGGACTCCTGATTATGTGAACACAAAAGATTCTAGGGAGCAAACAGCACTGATGATAGCAGTTACCGGAGGACATCTAGATGCAGTAAGATTTCTCGTGCATCATGGAGCAGATATTGATATTAGGGACGGTGAGGATTGTACTGCGATATCACATGCTTTGGAGAACGATAATCATGTAATATTTAGATATTTACTTGATGGAGAGGTAGCAGAATGGGAATCTTGCTACTCTTTTAGCAGCAAACACACAAATAATGCTTTATTGGAGGCTACAAAAGACGGAAAGTTAGCAACTATAAAATACCTCGTAAACGTTGGACTTGCTGTTGAAAACAGACGACATCTTCTGAATTCATCGATGGTTGCCAATGCTGGAAGGGGTGCGAAAGCTATGGTGGAAGAACTCAGATTTCTTGGGGCGGAAATAGATTTTTTAAGTGAGGCAGGATACACAGCTTTGATTTCAGCGGCAGCCCACAATCGTCTGGATATGTTGCCTTATCTTCTTGACTCAGGGGCAGACATCAATCAAACGAACCAGCAAGAGGATACAGCCTTGATATTTGCTGCAGTTAATAATCATTTGGAAACTGTAGCTTATTTGCTAGAAATCGGAGTCGACATCAATCAAACCAACAATAGTGGTAATACAGTCCTGATAGCCGCTGCAGCGAACAATTGCTTAAAAGTTGTCATTCTTCTATTAGAAAGTGGAGTAGAGATCAACTTTGAGAATAAACGTGGGTTTACAGCGTTAAGTGAAGCATTACTTAGCGGAAAACCTGATGTTGCAGCGTATTTATGTGGTCTATCTGAAAATAAAGTTAATGTTACTCTTGGAAAGTTTGATGTTGAGAGCAGAGATGATGGGTTAATTGGTGGCCAAACAGTACTGATGTGGGCCGTGCAGATGGATGAAGTTTCTATCGTGAAATACCTTGTTGAAATGGCTGGAGCTGATGTTAAAGTCAGGGATGATAACGGGTATACAGCAACCGAGGCCGCTTTAAAAGACAGAAAACCGAGCATTGCAACATATTTGTGCGGTTTGTCTGAAGCAAAAGCAGAACTTGGTAAATTTGACACTGACAGCAGAAACAAAGACAGTCAGACCGTGTTAATGTGGGCTGCAAAACTTGGGGCAATGCCAATCGTTGCATATGTTATCAGAGAAGGTGCAGAAGTCAATCTTAAAGATAATGTTGGCAATACTGCGTTAAGTTTTGCTGTGAATTCCAAGAAGTTTGAAGTGGCCCACTACCTGTTTCTTCAACCGGGTATAGAAGATAGCATGATTCAGGCAGCAGAAATGGGACAGTTAACTGTTGTTAAGTATGCAGTACAACATGGACTGGATATCAACTACATAAACGAAAGTGAGTGCACGGCTTTGAGTGTGTCCCTACGAAGTTATATGACAAAGTTGAAGTCGGTGGCCGACTACTTGTGTACTCAGCCGGGTATAGAAGTCAGTATGATCCACGCAGCAAAGATGGGACAGGTATTCGTTGTAAAATATGCATTGGAAAAAGGACGAAAAATAAGCTATGTTGGGAAGGGAGGCGTCACGATTTTAAGTGCGGCTTTGAACAACAGGAAGACTGAGGTTGCTGCTTACTTGTGTCGAGAACATGGTGCAGGTGCTGCTCTCGGCGATTTCGCTATTGAGGGGAAATGTGTTGATGGTCAAACAGTTCTAATGTGGGCTATCCGCACGGGAGAAGTTTCAATTGTCAAGTATCTCGTAGAAATAGCCGGTGCTAATGTCGGTTGTTTAGACGAATTTAAGAACACAATTCTGGACGTTGCCTTGAAAATGTTACTTGCTCCCTTCGAGCATCAGCAACAGAAGATTGAAGTTGCAGATTATCTGTGCAGTTTGGCGAACTTGAGATCAGATATTCATCATGAGAAATTTGCCGTGAACTCATTTGATGATAACGGTCGAACAGTACTGATGTGGGGTGCGATAAAAGGAAAAATTAACCTTGTGCGATATGTTGTTGAGAAAGGTGGCCCAGTGATCAACATAAGAGATGCAAAAGGGGGGACGGCACTTAGTCTAGCTATGGAGTCACGAAATACCCATATTGCTAGGTATTTGTGCAGTCAGCCTGGTATTGAGCTAAGTGTGATCTACGCTGCAGAAACGGGAAAGTTGGCCGTTGTAAAGTATGCGGTGGAACAGGGATTGGATGTTAAATTTTATTTGGATGAAAATGACAATAGTGCGATCGATGCTGCTTTGAGTAGGAACAATACTGAGGTTGCTGAATATTTAAGGAAACTGTATAAATAGTATCAAAGAAAAGCTGGAAAGATATTTTCTTCGACTTCTAGTTCTCATTAGCATCCATCTTATTTCAGCAACGAGCCATTTTACCTTTCCATATTATTATATATATATATTGCGTGCAGATTTACTTTCAATTTTGTAATAAAGTTTATAATTTAAATTTGGTTATACTATAGTACGGAAAAAAGTTAAGAGACTACACGTACGTGTTGACTGTTGCTTGCTTGATTGCTTAATTGCTTAATTCACAACATTCTGTCGTCTCAGAACTTTGAATTAGTCATGCCCAGAAATAGAATTGATTTGTGATTCAGTTTTGAAGTTTGAAAGTAGAATATTAATTGAGCTAGAGTCAGGGCTCATAGTCATACTTTCCGTTACTTAGAGGTTTGTGGCTATAAAATTACTTCCAATTCCATGATTGAGATTCTTCACTGCGTTTCAAATGGACTATTGGTTGTGTTTCATAATCACGTTCCTTTTACAGAAAGCGCCAGAATTGACAAAATCACGAAATCTCAGTCTATATAATACTTTTATACTTCTTTTTCCAACTGTTACTGCTGATACAATAATTTGGATCAGTCAAATGGATAAAAAGGTTTTTAAACCGACTTAACACTCCCAACTCCGATACTGCGTTTTATGTGTCCTATAAGTAGCTAACTACAAATAGTAAATACATATATATACTATTTGTTGGATTTTGTATCCAGTGACAAAGGCAAAGCTAAATATTAATATACTATTTGTCACTAAACTGGTTTTTACTAATTCGATCGCCTTAAAATTATCACGTCACTTTGGTTTTCATTGCTACACGTTGTATAATGTATACCTCTCTCGATCTAGTCTCTTGCAGGCGAAGAGTGCATGCACTCCGGCCGGCCTTTTGTGGCCGAAAAGAGGTTGCAACGTGTGTCAAGGTTTTTATGATTTTGCAGCCGAACAAAACGGTTTAATTTGACATAAAGTTAAACCCTTCACCTTGACCTAGCCATGAGTCTACGCCGACACGTACTGCGTGACGCGTTTTTTTCACAAGTAATATAATCCTGTGTGGCTCTTTCTAAATCGCTCGCCCAAACCGTAATAACAATTTCAACTTTTGCGCGTCTCCTAAATGCGCGTTAGTTATCTGTGATAATTTAGCACCGGCGAACCACATGGTCTGGCCTATAGCAAAGTTCACTCAAAACGTTCCGCGCCCGCGGATAAGTCAATATTTGTGGTTTTCAGCAGAAGGACTTTCGACAAAACTGTACCATAATATGGATTGGTCGAAAATAGAGTGTTTTAGTGAGTAACTTAGAATATATTTTTGATTTTCTCAAGATCTAACCAATAGATTTTCTTTAAACTTTTCAGTTAGTTACATGGCTATAAGACAGATAATCCGTGCAAGTTAAGTCGAAAGACAGATAATGTGTGAGAGTTTTGGAGAATTTCTATGTGCCAAACTTGAAGCAAACTACTGAGGATATATTATATAGAACCAGCGCAGCACTCCTGACAGCCAAACCAATATTGCAATTTATCCAATGCGAAAATACGCATTAACAGTTAAATGAAAAAAGTTTGGGCGAGCGATTTAGTGAGCGCGATCCTGTGTCACCTTCGGCGGTCGCACGTTACTGCAAGCGACGGGGCTCTGGTTAGAGCAACATACACCATAATCTCAACCCTAACCCTAACGAACCATACCTAGGAGCCGGCCGGGGTGGCTCTTACTAATTCGCTTACTGGGCCGCGCTCAGCCTGTCATTCCGCCAAATCTTTATTGAACATAATAGCCTGGGGTCCTCAGGTAATAATTCGCTCGCCCAAAAATTTCACGTGACTTTGGTTTTTATGGTTTTACAGCCGTACAAAACGGTTTTACATACAACATAAACCCTAATCCCAACCCTAACCCTAACCATAACCCCGAAGGTATCCATAACACTTACCACAACCCTAGCCCTAACCCGAGCCCTAAACAATCGAATTCATGTTTTACTAGCCTCTCTGCCTGTCACGTGACCAAAACGGTTTTTTGCCCATAACTCTTGACCATTGTTAATGATTTGGCCCGGCGCGCGCTACTTCGTAGCTCGTGCCGTCGGGCACGAGAAGAAAGCGGCGCGCGCTACTTCGAAGAAATTTAGACGAGTAATATCCGTCAACCAAAACTCTCCAGGGAAACATTTTTACTCTACGTCATGGGGGGTGATTCGGAATCTGCGTCCAAAAGTAGAACGATTGAGATCAAATTCATACCCAAAAGGCCTTTTCGCAAGGATTTTTTTAAAATTTGGGCGAACGATTTAGTAAAAGCGGGTCAGGGTGCACGATACAAATAAACTTGCTCGGATTTAAAAAATTTTGTACTATTATTGTTTTTTAGAGACTGTGAGAATTTTCACAGTACCAAATTTGTCGATCATACCTTTTCAAAAAGATCAGTGAGTTTCGCCTAAGTGCCATGTTTGATGGTGCGCGGCTTTTGGAGCAAAAGTAGCTGACAGCTGCAGTAAAAGTTGCGTAATTTTACCAAATTCGTTGATTTTTGTTGTATTATTTTGGTATATCTTCGGTTCCTTGAATTTGATAATTCTGAAAATTGGCAACGACCTTCCAATAGGGCTTTCATAACTGTCCGAAAAATTTGTATCATGTCGTGACCCCCATCGTCGTTTTTAACGGGTGATTGATACTCGTAAAATATTTGTTCCAGCGTGCGTCCTGGTAGGTTGTAAACCTACAAGTAATCTGTGAACGACCCCATAGGATTAAAATTATGCTCCCCGGTAACTTTCTAAAAAAGTGTTTCTGGTTTCAAGAGCAAGTTTTTCAACCCCCCCCCCCCCCCCCCCCCCCCCCCCCCGTTGTAGCGCGATGCACTACTGGGTCGCGCGCGCATCAAATAATGCTTCTCGCAACTACTTCGGTAGATCGGCGAGATGCACCACTGTGCCTCACCGAGCTGCGAAGGATTGACATCGTGAATCAACCCCCCCCCCCCCCCCCCCGTTACACCACTGTAATGCAGTGTAAACCACATTTATACTGGTACTCAAATGCTAAACTATTTTTTATGTTTTCTAACTCAAACTTCATGAGTCGACATCAAATATTTTGCAATGTATCTAGAATCAATGTGTGTATTTATATAAATCACTTTGGATACTTTTGAAAGAGAATAATAAGCTCCAAAATGCTTTTCCCCGTAAAAGTACAATAGCGTGAGTAGCTTTTGTCAAGGTGCCTCGAAAGTGATCTTAAACGATTCCCGTTCAATTTGATCAATGCACATCAACTTAAAGCAAGTTATAAAACTATTTCATACGTATCAAATTGGATATGCTTTCGCAGGAGATATAGCATGCGCCATGATCTAAAAATTAATTTCAAGACATTTTACTGTAAAACACAGGTTTATTTTTTCTTGATAACAGTCAAACCCAGTGGCTGAAATTTAAAATCAGCTAAGAATCAATTTGTTCAACCAATTTTTTTAATGTTTTCATGTTATATCTTTAAAAATGGATATCTTGCATTATGGCATTTAACGGCCAAGAGATACAATAGCTGAACTCCTAACCACTGTTTTCAAAGACGTTGAAACAGAACCTCAGCTTTTCTCCGTTCCTCACACACTTAAACTATCAAATGGAACAAATAGACAAGATGGTGCAAGACTGGACATCAGTGCGAGATCGTTCTGGTCGCCACTGGACAGGGCATTTACAGATGTAAGGGTACTTCACCCTCAAGCCCAGTCCAACAGTGACAAGAGCATCTCGCAGATGTACCAATCTCACGAGAATAACAAAAAACGTGAGTACAATGACAGAGTCCTCAATGTAGAAAAGGCTACCTTCACACCACTGGTGTTCAGTACTACAGGAGGAATGGCAGTTGAGGCTTCTCAGTTCCTAAAACATCTCGCTGAAAAAATCAGCCTTAAGAAAGGCCAACGGTATTGTGATGTGATGTCATTTGTCAGACGCAGATTGCGCTTCGATCTACTCAGAACCTGTATAATCTCTATCAGGGGATACAGAGGTACCAGAACTCTTCCACCCACGGCAATACGTGATTTGGACCTTAACCTGATCAACACTCCTAAACCCTAAAAGGTCATGGAGTGCTTGTTGGATGGGGTCTAAACTGCTTTTTGTTGTGTTGTGAATTTGTTATTATATAATATTATTGCAAAGGGTTTTTATTTTTACCTCAGTTTTTAAATTTTGTACCATTTTTAAAGAATTTTTATATTGATTGAAATAAATTTTCGTGCACATATAGGGTCATTGCTATATTATGTGTATATTGTTTAAATACTTTCAACACTACTATATAACAAATAATTTGAGTTCAGGGATGGAAGAAAAGAATGTACCCGAGAGGGCGCCGACGCTAAAGAAGAAACGAGAAGTAAAGATAAGCCCCTCAAAAGCTAAGTCAACAGCTGAGGATGTTTCTGCGCCTGCTGCAGAAGAAAAATACTGCCCATGTGAAATCTTTATGGCTGATGAGTTATCTGTGGAATGCGAAGCCTGTAAGTTGTTCTGGCATTCAAGTTGTGTTGGCCTGTCTGGGTTGACAGATGATATGTTAGGACATCTGACTAACTGGAAGTGTCCCATTTGCTTTGTGGCACCCCACACAGTTAAGGACACTGATGACCAGAGAGCTGTCAGGGCTATTGTCAAAGAAGAGCTCCAGAAGTTCACACCAGCTTTGGCGAACTCCTTAAAAACAGTTCTAAACAACAGCACGGACAAAAGTGTGAAAAAAGCTGTAAGTCTCTATTCAGATATTACAGCTAAGTCTCAACAAACTGTTCTGAAAAATCTAAGAAGTTCAGAAACAACCAAAGAAGTTGTCCAGCAGGTACAACGTAACATTGATGCAGATAGGGTGGAGAGAGAAAGAAAGAAGAAAAATGTCTGCATCCTGAAGGTACCGGAAAGCACCAATAACAGTGTCAAAGATCGTGAAAAAGAAGACATCGACTT